ATGCTTTTAATTTTTATCTCGAAAAGTTGCTTGGAGAAAAGACAAATGTCTGATAGGAATAGAGCTCTAATGCTTAATGCTTTCATGATTCTAGAATGGATCTTTGCTGTGGCAAAATGTGGAGGAAATGAGACTGCCAGATAGCTGGATTTTCTAGACCCGAAGTGGACATTGAAGAGATTAATTAGCTGTTATAGTTTGGATCTCAAGGACCCTTGGAAGGTCCACATGTTGAAGGCTGGGTAACCTATAGTGCTACTGGCAGGTGGTAGAACCTTCAGCAGCTAAGGTATGGGAAGAGGAAGTTAGGTCATTGGGATATAACATGGAAGGGAATAAGGAGACCCAGACTCCTTCTTATCTCTCTCTCTTTGCTTGTGGCTTCAATGACATATACAGCTTTTCTCTACCACACACTCCTGCCATGATGTATTGCTTTACTCCAGGACAAAAGCAATAGCATGGACTGACCATGGACTGAAACCTCTGAAACTATGAACCGAAATAAACTCATCCTCCTTTTAAATTGGTTACTGAAGGTATTTTGTCACATCACATAAAGCTGACTAATGCAGTAACGTATCTCGCTTTTTATATTAAGCTCAAGCTCGGTGAGGTTGGTCTAGATCTGCACTATTAGAATAGATTAGATTCACAATCTTGACCCTCACCTCTCAGTAGGTGAAACAGGTCAGCTTGTTATGACAGTCATAATATTAAAGACATATTGAGCACGAATTTCAAGCCAGGAATTTGGAATTTGTACTTTTGAAACCTTTATATTTGCCTATAACCTGGTTGAAGTTACTGCTTTTCTATAGAAAAGAAACTCAGAAATGTTAACAAAACAGAACCAAACGTGTCCACACAGCTCAGGCACTATGGTGATGCCCCTGAGCTCAGGTCATGGTGCATTTGTACTTTTCTGGGAGCCTCTAACCCCAAACGTCCACACAGCTCAGGCACTATGGTGATGCCCCTGAGCTCAGGTCATGGTGCATTTGTACTTTTCTGGGAGCCTCTGAGAAGCCTTACGTAAGAGGAGACATTGCAGATGGACTCTGGCCTTCTTGATGGAGGCTTTGTCCTTTTCTTTTAAGTATCCTGAGATGTTCTGGCCTTCAGTTTGCATACTTGGGTATTGAATTCTGAAACAGTAGGTTTTTAGCATAAACAAGGAGACCAGTTCTTTCCCAGAAGCTCTGAATTAGGTATGTCTGCGTGCTAATTCGCTAGGGTAGATTTAGAACTTTTGGGGGTAATGGCATTAAAGCTCTAGGAGCTCACAGTAGCTTGGGGGCTTTGAGGATCGAAGCACTCGTGGGGAGATGAAAGGGAGTTTAGCTCCTTTATAGAGCAGTCTGAACAGCACAGGGTCCTTTTGAAGATCATGTTTGATGCTGCTCTTGTAGGTAAGGCGGGCCCCTCTGTTGTCCTTTAAGCATCTCTTTGAATGGCAATTTCCAGTCATTTTAAAAATGATATCTGACGAGATCCAGCCCTTCTTGCAGTTTTCCCCTTGTTGAGTCTCCTCACCTCCTTTCCTTGAATTACAGTGTTTATTTTTTCAAAGCTTTTGTGGTTTGAGCTTTCTGCCGTTGTTATTGCAGCCGATGGCCTGATTTAGACACCGCTTTTTTCTTCCGGCCCCTATGTGGTTTGGGGTCTAAGACCCAGCTGAGGGGTAGAATCCAGGATTGTGGACGCATGTGCTTTGGGTTAGTGCTGGCAGTCACAGGTGTCCTTTGGTGGTCAGTGGCCAGCTCACAGATGTGTGAATGCTGCCTCCTCCTCCTCCTCGTCTGAGTTGTATTTTCCTTGTTTCATTATGTTCGATTTTTCTGCATTCGAGCACTCCTGACCTTCCCTAGCCAAACCCTGATTCTCACCTGTACCCTGTGCCCACAGTTTATCTGTCCCTTGTGATTATTAGAGCAGTAACAGAAGAGAGATTAAACGTCCCCAAGGCAGAGTGTGGCTTGGTCATGGTCTCTCCCTGCTGGACCAGGACAGAGCTGTCTGTCGGGGAGCATGGAGCTGTGCAGCAGGGAGCTCCAGCCTGCTGTGGGAGGAAGCTGGTGATTGGAAATTCTGCAGGGAGCCCCGAAAGACAGTGAAGATTTCTGCTCCATCTGTGACCTGAAACTGCCGTCCTGAAGCCGCTGTCCTTGGCGCAGGCCTCCTCCTGGATGAGCACTTCCTGTACTTTGTTCCTTTTCTTCCCTCCTGCCTGTGTACCAGATGTGCTCACAACCACGTCTGTGTCTCTTGCTGACCCACTCTTGCTTCCTGGAAGAAAGAGTTATTTCTTAAGTTTTAGTCGAATTATCAACCCTCTTTTTTTGCCTTTCAGTTCAGAATTTTAGAGGGGCTATGCATTACTTCCATATTGCTGTTGGGCCTTCCAACTCTCAATTAACTTAGATACACACACCCTTACCTCACATCCAGTGTTCCTAGTGATCAGAATGAGAGCCGGGTTTGGCTGAAAAGCTAAATGGAATATTCATTAAAAAGTTTACCATCTCTTATCACAGGGTTGCTCGATCCTAGTTTGAAACCTTCTTCCTCCCCTGCTCTGTTCCTAGGGGAGCACTGCTGAGCCCCGGCCTAGATGTTTTCTCCAGAAACTGCGGAATGTCAGTAACTAACCAGGGGCTCCCAGAGGAGGATGGGAGTTCAGTCTGCAGTGACTGCAGCCTCCTCTGATGCCGAGAGTGAAAATTCCGGTGCCCAATTTCTGTCCATAAGCTTTTAAGTTTCTTTAGCACTTTTACCTATCTGACAAGTTCTGATTTTCTTTATGAATGCATTTATGGAGTCTGGGAAGTTAAATTATTGTGATCAGAGTAAAAACTACTGTTGCTGAAGTTTGGAAACAGTCCGGACATCCTTCTTTGTGTTCTGAGGAAACACGGGAACTCTTTCTCTCACTGTTGTTGCTCGCTTTCTCTTCATGACTGACGATGAATTGGAGTTGGAGAAAGATGCTCATTTCTTTGTCATCATAATGGGGGAGACTGGTGTGAAAGAAGCTGCTTCCACCCTAAAGGTAGTGGTTGGCGTCCCTAAGATTATAATACAGGGGAGACACAGCTGGAGGAGAGGATGTAAGGGGGTCAGGGAGCAGTAAAGCACGGGTTTGTGGTGTTTTCCCCTGAGATATTTATGGAGTGCTTTTTTTTTTTCATGTTAGAGATCTCAGTATATGATAGTGACTCAATTAAACTGAAATAAGATGTTCCTGGGCTGGAGAAACGGTACTCAGTGTCCTGGACCCGTTACCATTTATGCATTGTGTGTCAAGAAAGCCTTTTCCCAGTGGAAGCACTGCAGATGGAGAAAGGGCTCGGGGGCTCTGTGTGACCTGCCTTCCTAAGTGGAGGCTCCTGTTAGCAGCCTCGATCATCAGGAATATATTATCACTGGTGTAGTGAGACACAGTTGGCTCTTTGGATTGCAGTCATTCTTAATCCAGGCAGCCAGGATGCCTGTCCGGTGTGAAGGTGACCCAAGGCAAAGCCTCCAGGCCCGCAGCCTGTGGTCCCTGATGCCTGCTAGGTGTTCCTACCCCTGTTCTGAAGGAGTCTTCAGGAAGGTCTCTGCCCACAGTGGGTGATACTGGATCGGCAGACCCGGGCTTCCCTGCTCACAGTTACCAAGATGACTTAGGGGCCCCTGCAGGGAGGTGACGCTGGGCTCTCAGGACTGAGGAGGTAGCAGTGTCTGGAGTTTCTTCGGCCGAACTCCTGCGGTCCTGCGGTGAGCTGACAGCCCTCCATGTTGTCTGTGTGTTCTGCAGCCCACCTGTGTCCACCAGGATGTTCCGTGTGGAACTGGGACAGCTGCACCTTCAGCTGTTGCCTGTGCTCTTTGGCATGTTTGGTCCATTCTTACGATTTGTGTATTTGCTCCGGGAAGTGGCTGCAAATACTGAATTAGCAAATACCGCACCGTTGGTCTCAGATGAAATAGGAGATTAGGTTGGTCAGAACATTTTTGTCAAGTGAGCAATTCATAACCTTGTTTTATGGGTGTTCCTGTTAAAGGCACCTGGTGATGTACTTATGAACTTACTGTGATTGAAAAATATGGTGAATGTTTTGGTGAAAAAAATTTATTCCAGTAAAAGACACGTTGCCGTTAACTCCTGTCAAAGTACTTCCATTGTTTTAAACATAGTTATAAAACATAGTCATCCCTCATTTGTGCCACTTTCTGCAGCAATTCTGGAAGTCCTCTTTCATGACTGTCTAGTTGCGCTGTCTTGGCTGCCTTGAGGTCCTGAACTGATTCAAAATGTTCACCTCTCACCATCATTTTGACTTTGAGGAAGAGCCAGAAGTCGCATGGTACCAGATTTGGTGAATAAGGTGGGTGAAGATGCACCATAATGTTGTTACGAGCCTGACTTCTATGGGCTGGCACTTGAAGAGGCGTTCACCATATTTTTGACCACATCGCCTGATGACACTCACCGAAGGGGACTTCCAGCATTGCTTCGGAAAGGGTCGAAAATGATGGGATGGATAACTGTGTCCAACGTAAGTGAGAGCGTTCTGGGAGGAGCTTTATGCCCTTGTATCTCTTAGTATAAGAAATTTTTAAAAGTAGTATTGACTGAAATCGCCAGTGCAGTTTTACTAGAGGATGAATTTGTAAATATGGAATCTGTGTATAAGGAGGAACAGCTGCATATCCTTTTTCTTTTATGAACCTTTCCCAGTTTCCAGAGAGAATGTTTTTAGGGGAACAAAGCTCTTGTCCTGGTGACTTTTGCGTCCTTGCTGTCTTAAAAGGTCTGTCTCAGCCTGTGGGGACACGAGGTCCCTCCTGAGCCATAGAGGCGATCAGAGGAAAAGCTTTGATGGGCTAGATGGCGAAGGATGTGAGAGGAATAATGTCTGAGTTGTCCGGGACTCCTTTTCTGTGGGGAATCTGTCAGGTGTAAGGTAGATGTGTAGGCTTAGGGTAACTGGCGGGCTTTTCTGTCTGTACAGCACCCTGGATGACACAGCATCAGTGGTGGGCGACGTCTTGGGTTCCCGTCGTTGACAGCCTTTTCGTGCTGAGGACTTTTCCCTCCCTGGGTGATGAGCCGTACACTTTGGAGATGTCACGTGACCTTCCTCACCTGCTCTTCTCTGCAGTCCTTGAAGGCGGCCTTCAGCACAGACCTGGAGCGGAATAGTGGCTTCCACGCCTTTGGTAATAAATAGCACCTTCAATAAAAAAGATGCTACTTTTTTTTTTTCTTTAAATTTTCTCTAGTGAGAGTATGACCAGGGGCTAAAAGGAAGCCTGGTGGCCTGAAGAATGCTTCCTTATTTGTGGGCCTCTACTGTGGCTTTCCAACGCCTGTGACTTCTGTCCACAGCTCGCCAACCTCTCTCCCCGAGGGAGCCGTCAGGGCCAGGCTGGGCACTCTGAGGTGAGGTGGGTGTACTTGGAGGGGGCGTCTTGTGGAGGGCCCGGAGGGCTGGCGGAGGGAGGCTTCTCCCCAGGCCGGTGACTTGTGTTGACAGGGAGGACAGCTTTGGAATCCCAAGCACCTTCCACCCTGGGAAGCAGCCGGCCCCTGCCAACCATGTGTCTGTCAGAGCAAACTGGAACAGAGGGAGGGAAGGGCCCCCCCTGGTGCTTTCAGCCAGAATGAAGATATCTTCCGAGCAGTGACAGTTTCCAGAGTGAAGGTCCTGGAATGAAGCTCTTGTCATTGTGTCTTCTCCGTCCTTGCTTTCTTTACAGGTTTGTCATAGCGCAGGGAGACAGGGGGCCCATCCTGAGCTGTACGGGGACAAATGGAGGGACACTGATGAGTTGATCACGGAAGTGTGAAAGGAGAGTGTTTCTCTTCACAGTTTATCATGTGATGCTGGACCGATTACGTACAGGGCTCACCTAAGCATTCTGTTACTCAGATTTCCTTCATGATTCCCCTTTGTCCCCCTTCTGCCGGGTGGAACAGACGGAGCCATTGTCCTTACCTCTCCATACCTGCCTAGGCAGTGCACCTTGTCTACTAGTCTACTAGGGAGAAGGACTGTTCACCACCCTTGGGCAACCAAGAGGGGGCAGGAGGGACATTGCCATCACTTGGGGTTCACAGCAGAGGCAGACAGCCAGCTTGGGCTGGGTCTGACTGTCCCCACTCAACTCAGGACAGTGCTGTGCAGTTCACACCGTTTTAGCTGCCGGTTACAGGTGCTTTGTACTCCAGAGGACAGCAGCAGAGAACTGATTCGAAGGATTGGGGCTGGTTTCTGTGCATTATGGAATGGCAGCGAACACCGAATTCTTGCATCAGTTGAACTTTGGTGATTTGCCTTGGGAGTCTGTGAGATGGCAGCCCAACGATCCAGGCCGCCATTCTGACCAGGCAGCTCTTATGTAGCTTTTATGAATGGAGCACGACTTGGGTGCTTCTGTCAGCCCTGCGTAGCTTGCCCCTTCTTCTCAGGGCAATCCAGAGCTCCCAGAAAAGGAAAGAGCCAACATTTTGTTCCAGTACGGTGATGGGTCCTAGCATCTCCTCCCACGGTTCTGTCTTCCTCTCTCCTTCCTCCCTCTCCCCGCTTTCCGCTGATGCAGTGGTGCTGCTGAGTGTTTGATTCGCCCTGCATCTCCCTGACTGCTGCTGGTTTTTCTGAGGGATGTGTCTGGCGAGACAGACGGCTTTGATCTTGGCCCTCAGCTGGGCTGCTCCATGTCTGCTGGCCCGGGAGAGCAGATGGAGGAGAAGCAGAGTGGGGCGGGAGCCCTGCAGTTTGAGAAAACTCCTGGGGCGAGGGCAGATGTTCCAAGTGCTGCAGTTTGACTTCATTTCTTTGTCACTGCTTCATCCTCTCCGCCAGAGGTTAAGAGTCTTTTTGGAAGCTCTGGATTCCGATATTGGGTGTGTTTCTCGTGCAGAGGGTCAGCCCCGTCCCATCTGTACACCTAGAGGGCAGCTGTTGAGAATCTAGGCGTGAACTGACCAAGTAGAAAACCATAAAGTCAAGAGAGGATCCGCACTCGAAGTGTGTGTGTGGCTCAGTTCAGGGCTTCCGGGACCTGGCGTGTGAGGGCACCTGAAGCTCCCGATTACTGCCGTGGGAGACCCCGAACTCCAGGTTCTGTCCTCAGTAGTTGCGTGGCCACACCTGCCACAGGGAAGAGTGTGCACTCGAAACTGAAACAAGTTTTACTCAGCTGCTGGCCTGCCGTCTTTGAGGTGTGGGTTTTCCAGAGGAGTCATCAGCATGAGCCTGAGGTTTTTAAGGGGTGTGTTCATGTGACTGACAGTGTTTTCCGCCGGCCACTCCTAGTCGTCAAGTTGCCCTTGTCCTGCCCATGGACACAGTCATGGCAGCAACCCCTCTCCCTGGGGCCGTGGTGGCAGCTTCCTCAGGGATCCGGGAGAAGCGCCCAGGAGGCGTCTGGCTATCAGAGCTTGACTGTGTGTAGGGGAGGCGCATTTATGACTTGAGTGGACAGACAGACGGACACCAGTATCCTCAGGATAGGGTCTTGGCTAGCAAATAGCCCCGGACTGGAAAACCTCTTAATAGGCCAATAAGAAATTTTTGTCCTTTCTCTTGTTTCTTCTATTTCTTCTGGGCCTTTGAACTGAACTACAGTCCCCCTCCCCCTTTTGAGAAGCTATCTAATTCCCTCAGTTGCCCAGACCTGGGCTCCAACTTGTGACCCTCCTGCTTCAGCCTCCCAGAGTGCTGGGATCACAGGTGTGTACCCCCACGCCCCACTGAGATTTTGATTTTGAGTAAAGGTAGGATCAAGGCAAGCCCAGGCTGAGGACCTGTGAGCTAAGATCTTCTCTCTTCACCTGTAAGAAGGAGGCCCGTGTGGAGCAGCTTTTACCTGGGAACGCACCCTGGCCCAGGGTGTTCTAGACCCACGTGAGGAATGGGCAGGCTCCGAATTCCCACCGGTTGCCTTTCTATGAAGGAGGGGTGTGTAATCTCTAGATTCTCTGGGTGATTCTGATTGGTGGCAGAAAACCAGAGCCAGGGCGGATGCCACTGTGTCGGACGGGAGGAGGAGTCTGGGAGAGGCGGCCTTTGGGCGCCCTGGTCTGTGCATAGTCACACAGGTCCTGCAGCAGCAATGACAACTCCCCTCACACTGTCTTCCTGGAACATGCTCATTTCCTGAGCCCTGGCCTTGAGGACCTGAAGGTGACAAGAGCACCCTGCCTGTCCTCGAGGGGGCAGGCAGGGCACAGCAGACAGCAGGCCCTGGTGTCAGTGGTCATGAAGGAGAGACCCCGCATCTCGGTGGCTTTTGGAGCCAGCGGGGTCCAGTCAGACAGTAGGAAGCCTGCTGTATGGATGGCCCCAGTGGCCGGGTGACGCCAGTGAGCTATGATCTAACAAAGGAAAGGACAGTGCTCGAGAGAGAGTCTTAAACATCACAGCTGCTACAGGGAAGAATCCACCAACCTCTCTCTCCCCCTTCTCTCTAGCTCTGGTGACCACCATGGTTTTCTTTGTTTCTTTTAGTAGCTCCCACAGGTGAATGGAACTTGAAATATTTGTCTTTCTATGTTTGGTTTATTTCTTTTAACTTGAATTCTACCAGTTCCATCCATGTCAACACAAGTGGCAGGACTTTGTTCTTTTTAATGGGTAAATACAATTCCACTGATTACGGTTTCCACTTTCTGGCTATCATGAATGCTACTGCTGTGAACATGGAGTGCTGGGGTCTGTTCTATGGACCGATTTCCTTTCTTTTTTTTTTTGAAAATATTTATTTATTTTTCACAATGTTCCTTTCTTTTTCTTAAATTTTTTCCTCATTGAGTTTATTGGTACATTTTAGGTATACAGTACAGTTACATTCATCATTGGGATCTTGTACCTTTACATGACAGGTCTTGGTTCTCATTTTTCCCGATTTCCTTTCCTTTGGATAGATGCCCAGTATTGACCCTGCTGGATCCTAAGGTAGTTCTGTGTTCAGTTTTTGGAGGCCTCTCTGTAGGGCTCTCCATAAGGGCTGAACCTAGGCTGGATTTTTTCAGGGCAGGTCTGTAAAGGGCGCGATCTTGGTTCCCACAAAGGTGCTTCATCTGCCCTGTGGGGCTGATTCTGCTTAGGTGGCTGAGTGCTCAGTCTCCTTGGCAGGGGCAGGCCGAGCAGCGGTGGGACCAACTGAAGGCAGCTGACAGGTTGCTTTCAAACCTCAGCAAAGCTCTGCTGCTGCTGCTGCTGCTTCATTTGGGAGGAAGTTTCGGTACAATTCATATCCAATTGGATGGCATGACTCCTTGCTAAATCTGGAACACAAAATCTTTATTCCCCTACATGTGTAGACTCTCCAAACACAGCAACATTTATAGGGAGGTAAGATACCATCTGGCCCCTTGAGTAGTACCCTATTTCTTATTTTTATCATTCATTTATACTGAGGAGCTGACACATAGAACAGAATTGGATTTTTGGTTATGCAAGGCACCTGGGGGTTTATCTAGTGTTGAGTTCTCTGTAAAACATGAAACGAATGTTTAGGTGGAATGACTCAGATCCCCGAGCAACGTAATTGAAGATGAGACGTGGTTTCCTTCTCTGGGCCTCGGTGCCACCTTTGACAAGGATCCAACAGGTCCTTGGGACGGATTGCAGAAGAATTTAAAGTGTTCAGTTGTTTAGGTCTTTGGAGAGATGGGCATTCTGGAAGGACTTCAGAGCAATAACTAGTTTTAGGCCGGAGAATGGCACCACAGCGTGTCTTCTGAGGCAAAGTGCAACTTGCTCCGCCCTGGTCCCTGTGTCACATGGTAAACAGCAGCATCAGGTGTCAGTGTGGAAGTAAGCGTAGCTGCGGGTGACAGCCTGATCAGAGATTGGGTTGGCCCCAGTGGGTTTTGACGTCTCTCATCTGACTGCATCCAAGGGCACCTTTGCATTTCTTTTCACTGATTTGTAGCAAGAAACTTAAGAAAAAAAATCCCTAATTTTAAGACAATACTTTTTCTGAATCATTTCATCAGCTGTCATTTTACTCACAATTCGTTATGCATTTGACAGCCAGCTCACTTTCCAGGACAAATAAGCCTTCCTTTGTCCGCTAGCAGTGGTCTGCTTTTGCTCAGCTTTGTTGTGGGGAGATTTTGCTGTCATTTGTGGGTCTAATCGGGGGTGGACGGCTCATAGAACCAGCCTGGGGCTTGCCTGTCTGCTCTAGCATGGGGAGTTAAGTAACAA